TAAAAAAAATGCAGAAGACTTAAAACTCATTAACGAAATCAATTAATAACTTCTAAAATTTATCAATTACTATTCCCAAAATCTGGAAGTCATCACACCAAGAACATCAATCCTCAAATTTCTAAGTCTAAGAATATTCAAGAGCTAAAACAAGTAAAAGAATGTCCATATCCGAACTTCAAGACATCAAGACGTGAAGGAGAGAATCCAGTCCGAGCTAGGAACAGTAGCTCACCCTGAATTCTGATATGCTGAAGACTGGCTAGAGTTGCGGACGAATCGAAGTCGATGGCACGCTTGCTGCACTCAACAATGTAACAAAAAGGAAAATACAAGTAGGGGTCAGTACAAGGCACAAGTACTGAGTATGTATCATCGGCCAACTCAAAATAGAAAGCAATATATATCGAATAATAACATAAAACCAACCAAATACTTAACAGGTGACAACAACAAGTACCATAACCATTGGCCACAACACCAAGCACATCTATGAGGACTCAAGCCTCCACAACATACTCATTTAGGAATTAGGTTCTTCAAACCTGAGTATATTAGCATAATTCAAGATTCATTCTCTTTACTATCCTGGTGTCGGAACGTGACACTCCGATCCTCTACTATCCTGGTGTCGGAACGTGACACTCCGATCCTCTACTATCCTTGTGTCGGAACGTGACACCCCGATCCTCTACTATCCTGGTGTCGGAATGTGACACTCCGATCCTTTTCTATCCTGGTGACGGGACGTGACACTCCGATCCTCTACTATCCTGGTGTTGGAACGTGACACTCCGATCCTCTACTATCCTGGTGTCGGAACGTGACACTCCGATCCTCTAATTCTCATTCTTTTAGTTCATCAAGTCTTCTTTTATACCAAGGCATCATCATTATCAAGGAGGTTTAAGGTTTTTCAACAGCCTCATCATGCTAATTTCATCACAATTATATAATCACATCATGCAACCACACAATTAAGCATATAGAAGATTTTACAATACTACCCAATACATATCAATCACTATTTAAAGTTTACCATGAGATAGCATAAACCATAACCTACCTCCACCGAAGAATCGTGATCAAGCAATCTACTTCTCCAATGCTTTGCTTTCCTCTTCGTTTCTCTTCTCTCGATCGTTCTCCCTCTCTTTTCTCTGTTCTTTCTATTTTTCCTTATTCAAACTCTTTTTCTTTTACCCTAATTATCATATAATTAAGTATAAAAGATGGTAAAAGTAACCCACTATTTATCTCAAAGTTACCTCCTTTAACCCCCAAATAATTGAATTATTAACATTAAACCACTAACTTTATAATCATAAGCAGGAATAGTCCAAAACACCCCTTAAAACTTTTAACAAAAATCCGACCCAGCCAGGGTTACGCAGCCTGTGACGGTCCGTCGTGCCTGCGACGGTCCGTCCTGCTAAGTCATCACAGAGTTCAGAGACTCAAATTCATTTAAGAGGTCTGTGACGGCCCGTCATGCCTGCGACGGTCCGTCCTGCCATTCCGTCGCGAAGGTTAGAGAGTCGATCTCAGTACCCAATTTTCCAGAGTCTAAGTGTTTTGGAACGAGACCCGCTCGACGGCCTGTCGTGCCCATGACGGTCCGTCGTGGGATCCGTCGATCCAGACAGTTACTACCAGAAATAAATTCTACGGCTCAAAACGACTAAACACGTCGTTACAAAATCTTTGTTTGGTTGTGTTCCTGTTTGGTCGTGTTTAAAAAAATCATTAAATTATGTTTTATATTATATTATGTGTGTTGCCTTACATTATTATTTTTTGGATGCTATTAAAATTAATAACAATAAAAATGGAATAACAAAAGAGATAGAATACGTGAATAACAGAAGAAGAAAAGTAATAGTGGATAAGGAACATTTAAATTAGAAAAAAAAAAGAATAAAAAAAGTATGATAAACAAAATGAAGAAAATGTACAGAAAAAAATAAAAAATAAATATGATAAAAAAACTTCAAAATGAAAAGAAACAAAAAGTACAGTGTTAAAAAATATAATAAAATATTTTATTATTATCATAAAAAAAAGAACTATTTAAAAGGTTAAGAAAAGAAAAGAAAGAAAAACTAATGTAAAAATGAAAAAAATAAGATAAGTTGAAAAAAAACGTGAAAAATTAGTATAAAAAATAAGAAAGAGAAACAAAAATACAATAAAAAAATAAATAAGAAAAATAAAAAGAGAAATTAAGAAGCAAACAAATGTTGAAAGCATGAAAAATAAATAAACAAAATATATAAATAATAAAAATGTATAAAAACTTCACATGCTTATAAAATAGGATAGTTTTAAATATGTCAAAGGTAAATCAATGAATGAGGGTAAATATATTTGTTTTAATAATATAATATTCAAAAATTAGTTTAGGTCATAAAAGTCAATAAAGCGACCGTGCTGGAATTACGAAACTCGATGGATGTCTAATACCTTCCCCTCGGTCAATAGAATTCCTTACCCGAATTTCTGGTTTGCAGACTAAACAAAGAGTCATTTCCTTTTGATTAGGGATTAAACAAAAAAAGTGACTTGAAACACCATAACTCAATTCCAAGTGGAGACTCTGAATATAGAATAATCCCTTTTCAAAATGTCACTTTAATTGGAAAAACTCTTTTCTTTCAAAACAAGCAATTCAATTTTGAGAGAAAATAGGTTTGTGACAAATGCATATCTTAATATTCAGATATGCGTTCATATTTAGACGACTTTACCTTAAAGATAGTAAATGAGGTCAAAGACTCCGAATCTGTTTGATATTATTATTGCCAAACATTGCTTATTTTTATCACTTCTTTTAAAATAGTTAATCGACAAAATACTTTGGAAAAATAATAATTTGTCTTTAGCTATTTTTTTGAGAAGTGTTTTTGATAAGTAAATTGTGTTTCACAAATCTTTTTTAAGAGTTATTTTTTTGGAGTCAAAATATGAAAAAAGACAAATATCAATGCACTTTCTATATTAAAATTGTTTTATAGAAAAAATTATATATTTATTATAAAGATCTTATACATGTTTTTATTTTTACTAAGATAAAATGCATACATTCAAATTTATAAAAAAAAAGACTTGTTTCAACATGTCTTATTCATTGCTTAAGGATATTTATATTTGTCTTAAGAGAAAAGACTTGTTTCAAACATATTTGCTTCATTACATAAGAATATTTATGTCTTTTCAATTCTCTGTAATGACTATGTGTCTTCTTTTTATGTCGATCAATTTTTTCTTTTCAAATTTCTTGTTGACTCCAATGTTATCAATGTATGTATTACTTAATTTGTGTTCTTTATTTATGCTCCACTATTTACACATCAAAATTCAGTTCTTCTCTTCAGCATAAATTTAAAAATCATTCTAAAAATTATTTTAGTGTGATTTTCTTTTTGCGGTGCTGAGTGATATGCACATTTTGGACCATCAGATAAAGAAGTCACTAGAAATTCTATTTAACACTTCAATTTGTATAATATAAACTTAGTCTTTTTTATTTACAATATAAACATTTTAATTATAAATATGACATGACAACTTATTAAATGTGGATAACTTTACACGTTTTATACCTATTTTTTTTTTAGTTGGCTGATTTTTTGGGGCTTATCATTTATTATTTTTACCTTTTAAATTATCAATCACAATTGTAATTGGATACATTTATTTCCTTAAAAACTATTTTTCTTTTTTTCTTCCTGAATACAATTATTACTGTAAAAAGATTTCTCTCTCTCCATTCACCTTTTTGTTATTGACCTTTTAGATTTTGATGCTAATTTTTTTGGAATTAAAAATTTTCATTTAGCTAATATGGATTCTACCATCAAGCACATCCTATTAATTTGATTTAATTACTATTGGAATATTTTTCCTCTTT